GATGCTTTAAGAAGCATCCTTTTCTGTTTTGTTTGTGTTGTCTTCAGAAAACTCGAAAAGCAAAATTTTAAGATGTTCTTGTCCATGCCTTTTGGATTCTTTTTAGGTATTTTTTTTTTTATTTTATGTTATTTGTTGTTGCTTTTTTTTCACATACATACACGTTGCGCAGAGTATGACGCTTTTATTTTCTATTCAACATCTGTCGGTTTTTTTTTCTTTTTCTACCTCTTTCTTTTAGTTTTTCTTCACTTCTTTAGTTCATCTTCTGTTTTTTTTTTTTTTTTTATGTTGTTGTTCTTGTTTTTGCTGGGCTGCTGCATGTGAAGTAATCCTCTTTTACTTCCTATTGTAATATTAGTATCACGTTTAGATGTATTAGTGCAGATATGTTTACATCGTACTACCCTAACTATATATTGTATGAAATAATAGCAATAACAGTATCTTCAGCATACTAGTTAAACTACATATGAACGAGCTAAAGCATACACTGAGGAGAAAATAATGAAATAAATGTGAAAATATTAAATGCAAAGAGGGTTTGACCACCGGTTGTTAAAGGGAAAAGCACTTAATAAGAACATGGATTAAACAAATTACAAAATTATAGTTGACTGTGGTCGTATCTTTTATCTTAAAAAAAAAAAAATTAAATAAATAAAACTTTAAAAAGAGATAAAATTTGACACCCTATAATGTAGGGTGTGTAGGGTGGTCGATTTTTTATGAGTAATTAGCAAAAAACACTATTTTTGTGCTTTCAAAGAACAAAGGTATTCGAAATTTACGTAGTACTGTAGGCATGTCCTTTAACCGATTCTGCCTATTTTCACTAACAACGGTATCTTAATTTTAGGGGAAATGGGTGTTGTATACGATAAGCGGACACCTAGACAGACGAGCAGACATGCCTTTATCGTTTCAAAATTTAATTCTGATCAAGAGTATATATATATATATCTCTGAGAGATTTTTCACCAAACGCAGCGGTGATGAGGGTAAAGAAAATATTTTGACTATAAGAATGGTACTAATCAGGTCTACAATCTTTCGTTGATCCTTTTAAGTCACTTACCACCGCTTTCTAATTTTTTAACCCACAATGAGCACATAAATCTTCGTCTGCAGATCTCCTCTTGATCCATGGAAAGATTAGGAAATTTTTAAAAAAGGCAGTCGCTGGTCTTTGATCCGCCCTCATATAACATTGGTGTGCAGCAGTCGATCATTGATTTCTCATTTCTTTTGAATGTAGGAAAAAATTAGATTTTACTTTGTTACCTTAAGAAATACCGAGGGACCACAAAATCACCTCTTTTCCTCTCCTTCATTCAAAATGGAAATTTTTGGCTTTCGGCGCAGCTGAATGGCAATGATAGCGAATAACAAATGAATAAAATCAACTCTACAAGAAAATATATTAAGTCATAAAATATATTAAGTCATAAAGTCATTGATGCCCACATTTCGGGCAAGACTCACCTTTGTTTGTCTTAAATGAGTGAAATAAGTGAAGAGATACGCTATGCGATGCTTTTTTACCCTAAAAAAGGTACTAAGAGAATGCTGCGAGTGAACGAATGACCCAGGAGTGGTTCGCTCAATTCCGTTTCGAAAATTTCAATGTCAAAGATGCACCTCGCTATGATCAAAAAACTCTCGATGACATTGTGCAACTGGTAGAGCAGGACCGGCACGTAAGCTGGCAGACACTAAACGTCAACAACATACCAGTTTGGAATAATTTGAAGGGAGCGGGGCACAAAAACCAGCTTGAAACCGCGGAAAACACCGCAAAGATTTTTTATATGAGCCATTATTTCATATTTTCTCATTTTTCAAGGGTAAGGTTTGTTAATAATTGTGTTACTTTGCCCTCAATCGAGCATCATATTTACCAGGAGGTCGAAAGCCATCGCTCTCTGAAATGCCTAAGAGCCTAAGCCTAAGCTTACCCCTTACATTGTGCCCATTGTGGATTGGCATTTATAACCATAATTGCATTAGGTCAAGACTTAAGAAGCCTCTTATAAAAATGAAACACCATTGCAATCTAATATTCTATCAAGTATGACGCAAGAAAACATTCCATGCTCTCTTTTCGACGACGTAAGCAGCTCTTATTGCTTAACCTGATCAATCAAGTGATGATATGTGCCTCAAAGAAGTATATAAGTAAAAGCTCAGAGTGACTTCTTAATTATGAGGCCGCTGTGATCAATTCCACTCTAAGCGGAAGTTAATATCGTAATGGCTACTGCCATTAGAAGGGGGATTTCGTAGATGGGGCAGCACGGCCAAACTGGTTCTGTAAGTTTACAATCGCTACACAAAAAGGAAATCATGACTAAATTTATTCCTTAAGGTAACGTTAACAAGACAGCAAATTGCCTTTGAAGCTTTTCAGGCATATTTCTAGGCATTACAATGCATGTTTGGTAATTTATACATATGTATAATGGTAATTGGAGCGTACTTTGAAATTAATTCTTCGCTATAATATAAGGACTTGAGCAATTATGCCCATCAAGGGGTTCTGTCTTCATCCGTCAAATAATCCGAACTCAGCAGCATTGGAAAGAAAACAATTCCTTCGCTTAGTTGGTATTTATGTACAACCTTAGCCATTTTAATCCAATTGGGAATTTTTGTACACTGAACTGAAACATTAGAATTACACGTGAACTTGGAAATTCCCCCACATCCACATTTCTTTTTATCCTACACCGCTTGTGGCACAGGGTAAATAAAGTTAGTTCAAACGTATGTAACGCGCAGAGGGGCTTAAGATAGACACACCTTTTACTATATCGATCGATTCAGAATCACAAATATGTTTCTGAAGCCTGTCTGTCCGTCTGATATCTGCCAGTGTAAATTTTCTTTGAAGCTACAGGTCAGAACGACGAATGCTATTGACAATGGTTCGGATCGGTCCACTTTTTCAACCATTCCCCATATAATGCCCTATCCTGAAAAGTTGTTATATGCAAAAATGTTACGATATTTAAAATTTCTCGGCAAAAGTGGCTGAGTAATATTTTGGAATTCTAAATCGGTATGAAGACCCCTTCCCATATAATGGACCATATCGGCTTATTTTTTGGATCCTACCCTAATTAGGATTTTCATGAAAATTGATCCTTTGTAGAGCAGAAAATTTTAAGTTTTTTTATGGGCTGATGATAATTGACCCATAATAGTAAGTTCGTACAAAAATAAAACTTGTGTTAGACAATGCGGTGTAGGGTATTTGTCCGACTATGAAGTTTTCACTTGTTTATTATTTATTTAATATTGTTTCAAGCTAATCAGAACATAGTTTTAGAACAGACCACGTCTGCAATTTTGTATTATTGTATTACTTGCTACTACTATCTCCAACCTTAGTCATTAATGATCATTTTTGACTTGCCCTGACAGCGATCTTTTACATCTGTGATTGTCATCACTGTGATAGTCTTTTTAATAGATTTCTTATAGCTAGGAAACTATTGAAATTAATATTTGGAATTTGAAAACGTTGTCGAAGAACGTCCACCATAACCGCATCGAAGAAACCAGTAATACTTCTGGCAAATCCTGTCTCAAGCTAATTCGCAAAGCAAACACTTTATATACAGCTGCAAGTTAATCTACGTTGTACGATCTATGATAGACAGACTTGAGTAATATTGCAAAGCAGAAACTCAGGCAGGATCGTAAATTGATGTACATGGTCGCTGGTAAGCAAACGTGAATAATACTGCAAAGCAAAATTTAAACAGGACCACAAGTATTTAGAGTGGGTAGGGATCTTCGATGACTTGTGGAGGGCCTTCAGTTAATGTATACGCTCTCTGGTAAGCATACCTACCAGAGCGCGACTACCGAGTCGTTATTCGTGGACATTGGAACCTCAGAGATTTTTAACCACGCTTGGTCTTGGCTATAGTGAGTGCTTAGTCGATGAGTCACTAGGCTGGGATTTTTTATTTCTTTTCCTGCCTCCCTATGACTGTCACTGTGATACAAATGTAAGCCACATTATCTGAATGATCGGTTATATGAAACGTCCGGAATGACTAAACTAGTTTGCCTTAATGTTTCCATGCCGACAACCAAGCCTGAAGCTATCTAATATTCAACTATTTCTCGACGTGTTCAACCATGAGAAAGGACGACAACTCGAATGAAAATAATGCATACATAATAAACTGTGTGAACAATACAATACACGGTACAATACTTGAAATATTTCGAGAAACTCAACTACTACACGTAGACATTTAAAGATACGTAGTTTTGCTATACTTACATATATCCTCGCGCATACAAAGGCAAACACAATGGCGTTTACACACTGACAAGCAATGTCAGACCGTAAAACCGAAAAGGTTCAAAGCCAGTAGTGCCGTAGTAAACGAAAGCAGAAAACAAACACTTCATTCGCATTTGAACCCTACGACGTGAAGGACGTGTAGCAAAAAAAAAAAAAAAAAACGCCTTAACCACGACTTATTGTACGTGCGTTTCAAAAGTAATAATAATAACATATAACTCTCTTCTTTTTCCGTCTCGGTCACATGTCTCTCTCTCTCTCCTCTTGCTCTCTTGTTTAATTCGAAAACTGAAAACATGTAAAAATTATATATAAAAAAACAAATTTTATTTAAACGAGAGAGAGGAGAACTTCAACTTATTTGTTTTGTTTCTGTGTGTGTGTGTGTTTTATTTTTTTATTATTATTATTATTATTATGTGCAAATGTGAATGTGTTTTTGTATGTTAAATACAAAACAGAAGAAGAAGAAGATTTCTGCGCATCCATCATCATCACCATACAAAAGAACTGTTATATTACATTGTGTATCTATGGTGTTTAATAACTAAAGATAGAAAACATAAAAAACAAAAAAACAAAAATCGAAAAGATTTTCTTTTTTTTAAACACATTTCTATTAATATATAAACGAGTTTAGTAAAATTTTATTTCAAAAAAAAAAAAAAAAAAAAAAAAACCAAGCAAAACAAAACAAAAATTGCAAACAATGTCAGAGAACTCATCGGAATATTTAAAACGCACCTGCCTCATATGCGGCTGTCATACCAATCAAACAATTAACATATACGAGCCACGTAGTGGTCCAAATATAGTGCAACTAATACAAGCAAAATTTAAATTTCAGGTAAGTTCCGACTAAATGCAATAATAATAGGACAAGTAAAAAAAAAATTAAAAAAACTAATCAAATGAAAAATTTCTAAAAAATGATTTAGAACGAGAAAAAGAGAGAAAGAGAGAAAGAGTGAGCGAGTGTGAGGGGAGAGAAATTAAATGAACTGTATGCTGGAAAAAATCAATAATGAAATCCTGTATGTTGGTTGCCTTCGTTGTCTTCTTTCCTATTCCTTTTTGCCACATCATATACAAAATGAGTCATACACTACTTTATTGCCACAAGGTAGAATAAGAAGCAGAGCATGAGGTGATTGACTTGCCTAACCAACCCATAACCACCCACCCGTAATACAAAACTAAAAAGTTCGTTCAACATGCATGTACGTACGTACGTACGTAAGCGAAGCAAACAAACAAACACCCTTAGCCTGGCTAATGGTATGGAACACTAACTAATGATTAGAACAACATTTCTTAATGCCGTACATATGTCGTGCTTTGCCTTTTTGTTAACGTTCTTTTGTACAAACATTTTCAATATTTATCGCCTCACTATAGTGCTTTAGCTAGCTAATGCTAATAGTTCAATATTTTTTAGACAACCGATCAGTTTCTAGGTCAAGCAAACAAATGAATGAAGAATAAAAGAAATTTCGAAAAAGTTTAAGGAACAAAAAAAAAAAAAACAAAAAAAAACAAAAAAAGTCTTAGTTACTCTCACTGAAAGATAATACACCGGACGTTTAATAAGCGAACAAAGTAGTTGCACATGTCGCCAGAGTTCTTATTGCTTTCATAAACTCACATATGTATTATTATGCGTATGTAGTATAGGTATGTAAACCGTAACATGACACCGCTTGCCTGTTATTCTTATAACACATCTTACTTAAGCCTGTCTATAACATCTTAAAACATGAATTCATTTTTTAGGATACTTTGCTCACATTTCCCGTAAGTGAAATAAACTTTTCTTGACATCTCGATCACATCATCATGATGATGATGATGATGGTGTTGGTGTTAGGTCTTTGTCTGGTAGCTACTTAATAGGAAACTTGAGACATATGTTGTCCTATTTGTTGTTATTTCTTTTCTTTTTTTGTTTTTTATTTTATGTTTTTATTTTTGTTTTTATTTTTGTTTTTGTTACCAAAATGATCATTTATTCCCAACAGCAGGTTGTTTTGTTTTATGATTGTTGTCAGCTGCTGTCTTCTCAGTGATAATGACAACGCTATAGATGTTGATGATGATGGTAATCATTATGCAGGTTGTGCGTACCGTGTATGCGTTTTTTTATTTATTTATTTTATTTTTTTTTTTTTTGTTGTTATTTTTTGTTTTTCTCTTTTTTTTTTTTTTATCAACATGCAAAGTGCTGCAAAAGTATTAAAAAAAAAGACAGCAGCTGCTTTTCTTCTTTACAACTTTTGCACAGTATTTTCGTTAAAAAAGAATTTGAAGACATATTTTAAACAACGGAAGGCCGTCAATTACAAATCCGATTGAAGGGAATCTCTTCAGTGCTGTGCAAAATTTTTCTGCCCAAATTTTCTTCATTTCGAGCACGAGAGTATTAAAAAGAGGCATATACAGGTTAAAGAGAAATCGATTATTAGTTAGTTGCTCGCTGCAACCTTTGCAAACGAACAAAATCGAAGATTCTTTTGATCTCTCATTCGATCGATTAATCGATCATGTTGTAATAAATCGTAGTCATTAAATCTTTGTAGCGATGTTACCTACTATACGCTATCTCATCTTTTAAAGGGGACCAATGAAGCGGTTGGTTCCGGAGCTCTTGCTTTGGTCATAACTATAGTAAATACTCAGTCGGTAAAGTCACGATAACCAAGTCGCGGCTTCAAATCTCAGTGCGGTTTGATCATGTTTGGTCCGAACTATAGGGAACACTTAACCGGCAACGACATAGCACTTACCGGTCGTGTACATACCCGTGAATATGCACGGATGCACCTTCCTATCTCCTTCACTTCGCTCACTTCTTTCTGACCACCACCGTGTTACACACATAGGAGACATAGGAGTGATTGGTCACTGGTTGGTATTTGAATCAAAAAGGGGAGACGGGGTATAAATTGTGGTATTTGATGTTTTCAAAATTCCTTAAAAACCTACCCCATGGTACTCCGATCTAGTGGATAACCTATTGTGATTGATTATGTGGGTTCAAAGAATAAAGTATTTATCTCGTAAGCAAAAATTGTACTCCGTGAAATATTTTGCTTGGATGGACCTACTATAAACTATAGTATAAACTTTTAGTACTACAATCTATTGTTCCCAACTTTGCTTTTGCGTAATGGTTCTATCTTACCATTAATCTAATAATTTTCATAAGCATTGTTAGTGTGCTTCTTAATAGTTTTAGAAATTTTTGCGCTCCATGCGTTTCCATCCACACATTTCACTTGATCCAAAGAATAGGAATATGGCGCAGTAGAGAACATGATACTTTTACTTCGTTAGGATTGATTGGAATCGAAAAAAGGCGAACCTCAAGTTTTATAGTTTAAAAGCCAACATTTAAAAAAAAACTCAAAAACAAATTCCAATTGAATTCTCCTGCAGATGCCATAAACATAAGTACATCTGAGTCTTGTTTAAGATCGTAAGTATTATTCATTGTTTCTTTTCCTTGAAATCGATCAATTGCAAGGAAGGCCCCCCTAAAGAGTATGAAGATAAATTCGAGTTTAACTAGCCAAGACACCTACCATATCTCTTAACGAAATTCCGTAAACGCTCTAACAGAGCTCTGTAGGATATAATTGGATTTGAAAGCGTACTGCTTTCCATATTTAAAAACTTAATATATATTTGTGGACACTTGATGAAACCAAGTTAAACAATTTGTGGGAACTATTTTTAACAATTTTTCGAAATTTGGTAAGAAAAACACCCAAATTTGAGTCTCTACTGCGGCCGAACTAGAAAATATCACCTATTACGTGAATCTATAAAAAATTACCTGAATTTATTTTCAACCGCCTTAGTCCTCAAATACATCTCTAATACGAAGACGATCAAATAGAAATGGGAAAAGATAAAGAGATGGGAAGTGGTCGCAGCTTAGTGATGGCATAACACTTACTCGCCGCAGTCTATCGCACTGAAATTTCAACCCATACACTTGGACTTGATAGTCGCAGTAGTAGTCGATAGTAGTAGTAGTAGAGTTCAATATTTTTTCAAAAAACTTGGAACAGTCGCATCGAACGTACAATGATATTTCTTCATCTATCCATTTTAAAGTGTTTCTCTCTCGTTTGCAATCACCTACTCTCCATTTACTACAAACAAAAGAATTCCTTATACGCATAAACATAAGCAATTACCATCAATCCATTTTCGCTTTTCTTAAGCTTGTCTTGAAATCAAACTTTAATTTTAAATATATCTCGGAATGTAAACTCCAAGCCGAGAACCTTAATGGTTTTCGTTTCTTTAATCAAATGGAAAAACTGACAAACATCACTTGCCGAACCTATTTGATGCTTTCTATGTTCATACGCGTCCACAACTCATTGTAGGTTATGGACTGTCAAAGGGGTTAGTCGTTCAATCGAGACGTTGCTGGCAGATGCTCCAATTTCTGCGGATCAAAACTCTTATCTGGCGCTTGTTAAGGCATTATAGATACAAACACATATTCGACAGAACATATAAGCAAATTTTCATTTACAATTAATATTAATAAAAAAAAAAATAAAAAAATAAAAAAAAGAAAAAACACGAAAACAAGTTAGAAAGCTATGGTTAGCTTGACACGAATCTTGGACACTCAGCATTCGATTCATAAATATTGTTACAAATTTTAGATTAATATTTGCTTCACTAGATTAGTACTCAAAAAATAATAAGTTGGCAAGAAAGAAATTTCGGTAAATATATTAGTAAACAAACACACACACAATAGCAAAAACTTTTTTAATTTTCACTATGGCAAATCTTGGTTCTTTAAACGAAACTTTTTCCTTGCCAACCCAATACATCAAAATAATTTTTTATTTATAAGCAAATATTACGAAAACGTGAAACGCAGCCAGTACACACGACCCAATTCCAATAACATTCTTGCATAGCAGAACAAATTAAAATTTTCTAAAATTTCATTATTAACCCGTTAAGGACGAAAATATGAAATTCATTGAAACGGAGATATCAGCCAGCAAGACATTTTACTTTATAAAGTTTCCTAGCCATGCATATACAATATTGCAAATGCTTTGATACAGTTAACATGCTTTCATCCTGGGATAGTGTAGTTTATTTTGTTATGCCTCACATGCAACATATAACGACAGCTGTATTTGTGGCAGACAAGTTGAGTAAATGCAGCAAATAGCACCTTTTGCTCCAATACGCATATGAATGCATATGGTTAACGTTGCGTGTGTGCGATAATTTCTCTTCATATAAAATACATCCATACATACATACATACATATATATGATCGTTTGCGTAGGTAAGTAAGCATGGGTCTTTTGCACCTGGTGATCGATTCCAAAATATTAAACACAACATATGATATACAAGAAGAACAAGCAACTCAACGACATATAATAACGAAACGTTATTATTATGATTAAGACTTCTTTTCTTACGTAGCCGCTACCAATGAACACTATTTATCATATAAAGCACGCGTCATCTGCTTTACGATGGATGCATGGACAAAAAAAAAAAAAAAAAAAAAAAAAAAACACAAAACACAAAATGAAACGCAAAGATCTAATGAAAATTTTTAAATAAAAACGAAAGCACACCTAAGAAGAATGTGTAACAGGAACAGGACAGTCAATGAAAATAATACATCGTCTACACCGTTGAATGAAATGACACCTTTCCTTTTTATTTGTGTTTTGTTTTTTTTTTTTTTGTTTTAAATAATTTCCAGAAACCGGCAATATTTGCGTGAGCACAGAAAAAAAAAGCATATTAAAGAGTTATTACACCAGCTGCTGTTATCAGTGTGCTTTTATTCCGTGTACTTTTTTAACCACCGCATCAGTAAACGTTCATTGGTATAATGGATATCTCATGATCATTGCAACACCCATATAACAACAAAAAGAAAAAAAAAAAAAGTCCTTAAAAATTCCATAGAGAATTTATCGGAAGAATATTCTAAATCGGTGCGAAAAAAATAATCGTAAGGCGAAAAATTGACCCATGCGATCTAATCGCATCAATGTCACAAATTATGTTTGAAAACCGTATGTGCCTTGTTAAGATTCTTAATGGGTTCTGTTATGCAGGCTGAGGCGCGTTTAGTTTTATTTTGAATATACTTGCGGTCAATAAAATGTTTGTCATACAAAATTTGGGCCGCAAACGTTTATCCGCTCAATGGAAATTGAATTTAAAGGTGGGCTTGAAAAAACTTATTAGAAACATAACGAAGGATTGAAATAAAATCCTAACCAGCATAAGATTCTGACGCGACTATACCATAGCAGTCCATTCGTCGTAAGATGGCAAAAGTGAAAGCAAGCACCTCCTTAATTGGCGAACACAAATCACGTTTCGCTCACATCCTTTCAACTCCAAATTTCTTCAGTAAAAATGCAAACCGGCTTCAAAGGCCGCGTAAAGTGTATACAAACTCTTAATTATCAACGACTTTTTTAATCATGTCCGTACATTTTTAGAATATTTATATGCCGAGAAATTCAAATAAAAGTCTCGAGCTCAATTTATCACCATACGCCTCCAAACACGCCTGTCCGCTTAATAAAAGCAGGCCAAGTAATTATATTTAGCTTAAGACAGAGCTTTGATCTTAACTACTACAATTACAATAATTGACAAGTGGACCATGGCCCATTGTCACATATCCTACATCACTTCGCTTAATACAGGAGTACTGATATAACGACTTCCCAGCATAAGTCGTTATATGGGAACTGGTCGAAAAAGTGGTCCGATCCAAAGCATTTTCAATAACATTCGTCCTTGGACCAAAGTACATCAGTAGATGTATCAAATTTCATCGCAATATATCAAAAATTGCGGCCTGTGAGTTGAACACAAGAAGACAAGACCAACATAAGGAAGCACGGACAGACAGACAAGTTATAGTTAAAAAGTAATTCAGTTTGAGTCCTTCTCGGTTAGAAAGCGATTCTAAATCGCTGTCTCTCTCCTTGTGCACGTTGCCCACGTTCACACACATTTAATATGTCCTTATATACCATAAGCGATGTAGGGTATAAAAATTCGGGGCTATTAGTTGCTCGATGGAAATATTCTCACACTATTTTTTCACATTGTCCTAAGCAGTAAATTTTAGTTCGGTAGCTCCTTGAAGTCACAAGTTAAGGTCTTTGTTTGTAATATCCGTAACCCTAAGGAGATCAAACTGATCTTTCCTTTAAAATCGTAAACCGTTCTGTGAAAAATGTTGATCTAAGTTTTTAAACAAAGAAAATCTTTTTTTTGGCTTTTATTGACTTAGTTTTAAACGTATCAAAGCAATTTCCAAACATGATCTTTGACCCTTAACTAAACATATATAGGTCAAGTTTTAAAGCCTCTAGTAAATTCTCCAACAATCGATGGGCTGGCATGCGGTCATATTTGCTCCATTCTTATCTCAAGCAGTTTCCTTCCACTTATTTGTCGCGACAGTCAGGGACGACAATTTTTTGATATCCATACCTTCTATATACTATATCTTCCGAGATTGGATATAAAAATGTTATTGTAAACTATCTACAAGCCAAGACAGATATCGCTTGTAAAAGATTAACTAGACTGAACTAAGAATCCAATGCCGCAATGATCAATAAGTGGAACAGTGCACCAGTAACAAGAACGCTCTACGCCGATACGAATAGTGGATAGCGAAGATTCGCCTTAAAAGAACTTATTTCGCTGCTCTCATATATTGGCAAGAATGCATTTGTGTGCGTACATGTATGTAGCATATGTAGCTGTACCATTATTTACACTTAATGAAAACCCATAATATTATTGATAATGCTTTGTTGGCGGCAGGTGATCACTTATCCTCGCGTTTATGTAATAGGTGTTATGGCTGCTCATTTCCCCTCTCTCTCTCTCTCTCTCTCTCTATCTCTCTCTAAAACCTCTTTGCCTTGCAAACGAGACTTTTCCTCTTTCAACTCTCGCTTACATTCTCACTCTCTCCCTCTCTCTCTCTCTCTTAAGTTCTATGCATATCATTGTTTGTTGTTATTTTAATTTATTTAACTGTTAAAAAAAAACACATGTTATCTTTTTCTCAAGTAATATAACCCAAGAGAAAAAAAAAAAAAGGAAAAGGAAAAAGAAATTCATGGAGCGTTTCAATTATTTAATAATTTGATTAGTTTTGTGGTCTAATTATTAAACACATGTCAGTTGTAAGTTTTCCGATTATTTATTTAATTTTATTTTTGCAGCCCTTGAATGAGGACAAGTACCTGTGTTTTAGTTGCAATAATTGGCTAATTAATTGGCATTCACTGCAAGCTTTAAACAGTAACGAAGCCGATAGTTCATCGGGGGGGACATTTCGAGCCGGTCTAAACAGTGGCAACAATAGCGTTATGCAAACTAAATTACAAACCGATGATGATGATGATAATAATGTTAAACGTCCTATAGCTATATGTCGCCCGATAAGAAGAGTGCCAACAACATGTCATAAAGGATCAATTACAGGGGAAGAGCACAACAACACAACAATAATAAGCAATATTCAGCATAATTTAAAAAATTCAAAACCAAAGTCTAAACTTACTTTCAAAAAACCTCAGCCTCGCTTGAGACGACTAACGCACCGAACATACTCAACGCAATTAAGATTGAGATGCTCATGTGGTCGAGCGTTATTGCTGCTGGCAAGCGAGAAGAGAAAAATTAATAATAAATTCTTAAAGCAGAAAATTGCTGCTGTTGTGAAATGCTTTAAATGTAAAGCCAACGATTATATGAAGTCGTCAAAAAGTCAAAATCTAGTCAATAATGCCTTACAAGCAAGACATCAACAAGATTATGTGAAATGCACTGAAAGCCATAAAACTTACTTAAGGAAACCCTTAGTTGATGGGAAAGTGATTGCCATGCTTAGACGTATTGGTACCACTTTGTCACGCGAATCAATTATTAAAAGCAATAATGACCACAAGTCCACAATGATGGTAGAGCAGCATTTACCGCAAATTATGAGTCCTACAAAAGCCAAGCAACGTTGGTCACGGCCATTGGCTGATGATGAAATTGTCTTAAATTTTGAAGCCACCGTAACGGAAGTGTTGACCGCTGCATTAACAACTGATAGCAATAACACAAACAAGTTAAGAAAACGTTTGACATATCAGATGTCATTACAGGAAGGAAACTGCATTGACCTAAACAGTAAAGAAGAATTGAAAGCAGAGGGCGACGATAATGTGAATATGCCAAAAACGGAAATGACTCTACCATTGAATTTACCCAAAGGACTTAGTATTACTTTGGTTTAAAATGAAAAAAAGCAAAAACAACAAAAAAACAAAAAACGGGGAAAAAAACCTCTCACAGAGAATGAAATTTTTTTTTTTAATTTTTTAACAGCCAAACATACAAAGATATAAATGCACATAGGGTTGGCGAGAAAGAAATTGCTCCGTATACTCTACTGCAACTATGAAGAGAAATGAAGAGAAATTTCTTTTAAGAAATTTCTTTTTTGGCCAACCCATCTATATTAGTCAAGTCTTCGGACCTCATTATGGCAAAAGTGGTATACAAATCATAAGACTTTTGCTTGCATTTCAGCTTATATAGCATATATAGTCATTAAAATGATTAGTCTTCACGGACAGCTTTAAAGAAACGAAACGAAAAAAAAAGATAAAAGGTCCTTTAATACCTCTAATTAAGAGTTAAATATATCTTAACTAGTTTTCTCTTTTCTTCTTTTAATTTATTTTATTGTATTTACGACGATTATTATCCTTTACCTTTTAACATGCTTTTATATATATATATCTACGAAAAGTTTAGCTCAATTGTATTTGTAAATAGCTTTTGTGATTGTTTGTTCATTCACATAAACTAATTGTTGCTTAAATATAAGTATGAAAAAAGACGACAAAGTTAATGCATTAACGCCATATCATTGTAATTTAAATTATTTATAAAAACAAAAAACAAAAAACAAAAATACAAAACAAAAAACCATAAGCAAAATTAAGTTTAAAAGTAAAAAAAAAAAAAAATTATTTAATTTAGAAAATATATAAAATAAATAAATGTAAAAATTTTCTCTAGAGTGATAATTAATTCTTTTACAGGCACTCCGCTCATCTATCGCTCTTCTCTTACTGTTAAAGGCAAGTAAATAATAACATCTCGTACGGGATAATCACATAGCTGCAACTCAACTTTCGCTTAACATTCACCCGTTTTTGTCAATAGCGCGGTTGCAAAGCGTCTGTTACCTATAACATTGCATAACAGTAGCAGCACTGTTAGTTAGCAGCCGTTGAATTGCTTGCTTTTGTTATTCTCATTGTTTACATTGGCAAGAATTCTGTTAAAGGTTTCTTGATACGACGTCACACTGTATCAAACATATACAGAGCAAGGGTGTGCAGAATTTTGTGTTTTTAAGTGAAAGGGCGGTGTGGTGTACATACAAGCGTATATAAGCGAAAAAAAACTTAAAATTTTGCAGATACTTGTGTTTTTGTTATGTTTTTGTTTCACAATCCAAAATTTTGCGTATTATTCTTACTCTGAATATTTAGCAAATTAAATTCTCTCTCTTTCTCTCTCTTCCTTTCTCTGTTTACCGCACATCGTTTGACATAAATCTGAAAAATTACAGTATTTCCATTATTACGCAACTCTGTGTAAATGTGATTTCTCTTGGCTCTCTTGCGTCGTAATATCACAGATAACAGAAGAAAATCAGAAAAACTTAGCTCAGATACGTTACACCGCTTCGCTTAATAATAGGTTGGACGGAAAGTTTTGTCGTATTTTATTCACGTACTTTGCTTTAACACAAATCCAAGAGATTAAACAGTTGTATGATGACGGCCTAACGCTTCTGTAATATCTCGACCTGTTAAATGTGAATTATTTTCCAACATAGATCTCAAAAAATCTTTATCGAGCACGTTCTCTCAGACCCCGGAACGAAATTCGCTAAACCATCTTTGACAAGTACGAACATTTACAATATCTTTTCCAAATACCGTATAAAAATTTTTACATGCAATCGATGCGTTGCTTCCTTTTTGGAATTCCATAAACGCACTTTATCTACTGACATGTTCTTCACTTTATATATCACAAATAAATGATGAACGGTAAAAAAAGACTTCTTTTATATTATACAGCAACTGAAAAAACAAAAAAAAAAATCCAAATGACTCACTAGCCAGATATTTTTTTTTTATTTACAAGAGAAATTACCTCTCTATTTAAAATACGACAGGACTTTCCCTTCAACCTAATACAAACATTCATTAATTTTCGCGATACATTAAAAAAAAATTATACATTATTATACCCACCACTGTAAGATGGAAGAATAGCATCATTTTGTTTTTTGCCCAAAAGGAATATTTAGAGACCCTATAAAACATATACATACTTGATCATCGTGATATCTTGAATTGATTTAGCCATGTTGGTCCGTCTGTGTGCCTGTGTGGCGTCACGCTCCTGGTCGCAAAAATGAAGATATCGACTTCAAATTTGGTAGAAACATTGGAAGTTCCTTCACGCGGGTTGGTATTGGGCCCAATTGATCAGAACGGAAGCGCGCAGTGAAGCGTAAACTGAACGTAAGTCAGTTTTTTCTAACAAAAATTTTTGGATTTTTACTCGTTATTCGGAAAGTATTAAAGTTAGAAAACTAAATAAACCTTTGAACATTCTTTGCTTTACGACACACTTTACTCTTCACAATTTTTACTCTTTGCAAAAATGGACCCAATCACCCGTGTCCCCACAAAGTTGCGAGTAATTAAACTTTTCGCATTTTTTTTAAATTTAATGCTTATTTATCATAAGGCAAACAGGACAAAACGTTTAAAACTATTTTACATATTCCTCAAATCAGGCTATATTATCGGCCTAAAAATGGGTTAATTTTAATATGAATATGATAGACACAGCGATTAATTTTTTCTTAATAATACCAGCAATCAAAGGGTATCAAATAAAAGAACTTGAAGAGTACAATGCGAAAAGCTTAGGGTGTTGGGTATGCGAGATTCAGCTCCCGACGTATGTAACTTTCTTACTTGTTTTTATATGAAGGCATCATTTTCATGATAGTCCCCATATCGGATGATGCCAAAATTGTTAACTAATGTGGTCCAAATTTGGCCAGCTCTATTTACTTACCAAAGCTTGCAGTACTTCCATCACAAAAAACTTCAAGCTGGCCTGTGCCGCTATAGAAGCGTTTGCTTCCTTGAAAGCCCCTTCATATGGTTGGTTCCAAGAAAACGGTTTATTTGATTCAAATTTCATATCAAATTACTCCTACCAACCAATTTCCATCATAAAATATCAAAAATTTTTGCCATACAAGGGATCATATTTCCTTTAGAACTTTTAATTAGGTGAGATCCAGAAAGCAGACCTACGTTCTCCAAGTTCGTTAAAATTATTGTTTACATCACATTAGTATTTCGCACGAATTTTCATAAGGAAATATTCAAAGTTAGGCCTTTTTATAGCCTATACCACTTGTTGTCCAGGGTATATTAAGTTAGTGCGTAGGTATGTAGCACGAAGAAGGGCGAAATTCTAAAAATTGGAATATTTTTTCATATAACGAAGCGAGCCAAAAAGCTGATGGTATTATCTTTGGGCCAAAGTACATCGGTCCACAAATTTTTATCACAAAATATGACAAAAATTTACAACCTTTAGATTGAATACAAGAATACATGGCAAACAGACGAACGCGCAAACGTACAATCTTAGATCAATTCAGAAAGGGATTCTACATCAACCGATGTAATAAGGAATTCATCTATCGCATCTATTTTAGGATGTAATAAAAAAGATTGAGTACAGGTTTTTTTTTTAATGTGACTGATCACGAGCGGGATATCATAAATAATTGGGGAGAGAGAGATAATCTCTTTCAATCGTTAAATTTTACACTTTTACTGACTAAGCACTCATTTATTGCTACCATCAAGCCACGAGATTTGAATCTGTGAACCGTGAACTCGGCTCCGCGACAACCAAAAATCAAAAAAGTTCCTTCATATAATTAAAAATTATTAAAATTTAAAAAACAAATTATGCGATATAAGCGCTTTTCTGGTACTTACAGTCGTAAGGCGGTACTGCTTTTTCCTACTGTCTTTTTATTACAGAAAGAGAGTACCATCTGTGAGGATTTTAAAAGATTTCATCAAAAGTAGTCGTATCAGTTCAGGTCAACCACAAGTCCACTTGAATTGGCTTTTTATATGGCTAATTTTTTGTTGGACCCTTTTTGGAGCTTTTTTTATAACAAGCGCTTTCCAATTGGAGTCGTGAACATGATATGACATATAGTTCACGCTTTATGTATGTTATAAGCTTTAGTGTTTTATTACTTTAAATTTCTTTCCCCTTTAACGATCACGATAAAGGAACACCGTACGTGCGAGTTTGTGACATTCATCTTGATCTGGACATTTTATTGGGGAAGTGTTGCTAAATTGTTCATCTTATATAAATGAGATAATTTGTTTGCATGAAAACTTAATCTTACTCGTAGAGATTATATTTATTTATTTATTTATTTATTTATTTATTTATTCCACATTATAAATTAAACATTGATTTATTTGCAAGAAAAACTCATTTTAATACATGGGTATCCGTTGCTTTCAACCAGTTCTAAACAAATCAAAACATGATTTAATATTGTGCAAGAGATCGTAGAAAATCGCATGTTATGTTAAATTCTGTCAAGCGAAGGCAAACTTACATTCGCATACTTCCCCCACTTTCTCTTATCGTAATTTCTCATTTGCACTTTTATTGGAAATAAGCGGGAAGTAGAAATCGAAATGCTGCCAGCATCAAAATAAATATTCAAAAAACAATCTTACAACAAATAGAGCAGTTCTCTCAGCTTTTTCAATTTTCTATCAACCCTTGCATAAAAAATATACAGCAAAATCAGTTTTACGCTCACAATTAAATTTTATTTTATTTCTCAGCAAAATCAAAAATTTCAAACATTCCTGGAATTTAAAATTTTTCTTTTTTTTAATAATATTATAGCATATTTCGTACTACTGACTCTTTTAAAAGTATACGCATTTTACGCAAATTTTAGTTAATAGGCATATATCAATTTATATGAAAAACTAACCGAAAAGAATAAGCTAATCCTTTAATCCTAATAAAATTCCAGTATTAGTATTCGTGAAGAGATAATATAATTTTTCAATCTCCTAGTATATATTATTTTCTATAAATAAACTAAATTTTCTATAAATAAACTAAAATTATTTAAATTATTAAAAACAAAACAACTTATTGTTCAATCTTAAATGCCGAACTTAAGATTCAACTCTGTGAAATTATCTAACGGACCAAATTATCTAACAAAATTAGCAAAAGCCGTCGGCAAAACAAAAACTTAACTCGTAAGATGTACATGTAATAAACATTTCTATTGCCTACCTTAAGGATTTGATTAGTTTATGATAAAAATTCGCTGTCCAACACTGTTATATTAACTTTTCTACTCATAAAGACTCTTTTTTTCGTCTT